GAAAAAATATTTCCTAAAACTATCGCATACGTTCGATTTTCATTAAAAAATACTGGAATTCCGCAAATTGCATACTTTTTTTAACTTTGCCATGCACCTTCATTATTGAAGCTAGATATTTTTTCTTAAAGCAAACAATTCATAAATATTCCAAATATAAGTAGTTTTGGAATAATATTGAGTTAAATTGTGTGAATTTTGTTGGGATTTACAATCTAATGCATAGTATATAGTAAGAGCTTATTTTGATGAAGAGATTTTAATGAGACGGATGAAGAGATAGCTACATTTTTTCCCTAAAAACTGTTCGTATCCATAAAAGACAGTGCGGCAAATCATATGACATGAACACCACTTTCATTGAATCATTTCATGTTTCAAAAGTTACACTTATGTATTTTTTTTCTTTTTCGCCTTTACTTCGTAAGAAGGAGTATTGTAATCGTGCGCCGGAAAACGGCGAATTTTTGGACATAAAAACAATTACTACTGGGACCTGGTAACGAAAAAGTGGATAAATCGTGTTTCAATAGTAGATGACTTCCTCTAATACTTTGTGTTGACAAAATCCAGGTTTTGTGGGTCCATGATACCGAAAAATTGACTGATGGTAAAGCATATCTGTGTGTGTGTGTGTGTGTGTGTGTGTGTGTGTGTGTGTGTGTCTGATGTGTGTGTATGTTTCTGTCGATCGGTCCGTCCCTCCGTTGGCGGTAGTTCCATTTCCGGCGAACACAGTTCTTTCGAAAAGTACAAAAAGTTAACATTGCAAAACTACAAAATTGAAGACAGAGATTTTCGCGTTGAAAAGTCTGTCCTAAAAACACAGTTCTTTAAAAAAGTCATGTACAATTAAAAAAACGAGAGTTTTTTCGCGCAATTTCTGTTTGAAGTTTATGCAAATAATAAAAAAAAAATTGTAAAAAACCTCTCAAAATTTTGTCTTCAATTTTATCCCACAGATAGAACAAGGAGTGCTAAAAAATATTATGCAGATCTCATTTCCGTCGAACTTAGTATTTTGGAAAATTGCGAACGTTAGAAGTAATGCGACAAAGTATATGAGTTTGTAGCATCAGTAGTTTTAAATCCTTCGTAGTAATATTTGCAATACAGGTATACTTTATAATTTAACGCTATTGCGGGCACAACTGCTTCAAATGATCTCTGAAGATGTTTCGTGAAATCTCAAAAGTTTCGGGTAAATATTTCCTTTCTTAAATGAATAATAATAACCTTTTCTTCACATCGATCAATGAATATGGATGGGCGGACATTTTGCCGTCAACCAATTTAACCTTCTCGCCTTACTTTGTAAGAAGAGAAACTATTGTAATAGAACACCAGAAATCGGCGATTTTGCGACTGAAAAACTCTTATATTGCCGGGTGATGGTAACGAAACAGTTAATACTGTTCCTATATGTAGGACACATCTAACACGTTGTGTTGTCAGAATCCATGTTTTGTGGCTCCCTGATACCGACAAATGGATTGACGGCAAAACGTCTGTGGGTCCGTCAGTTGGTCTATCTATCGGTCTGTCCGTTCATCGATCTGTTTTTCGGTCTGTCCTATGCTAACTGTTACTCTCTACTGTTACGTTCTATACTGTTCCGTCAATTTTCTCCAAAATTGATTTTCCCCAATCGATCTGAACGAACTCAAGGCCCTGTGAGTTTAAAAATTATATTTTGACTTTTGGGAAACTTAATATAAATACATGTTCAACATTTTCTCAAAAACTACTCCAGATTAAACTTTGTCCTCGGATAGCGTAAATATCTCTTAATAAATGGCTGGAGTCTCTTTTTCCTTGATAAAATGTGTTGTTCAAATATAATCTTGAAATAAGTTCATGAACAATTTTTCGGCAATATAAGTAATTTTCGCGAAATTGTGTGTGAAATATTGACCATTTTTAGACATTTATTTTCTGAAAAGCAGCTCCAAAAATGTCTTTGTTTTTTTCTCCTCTCGTATGTAGCAAATACGGTAAAAAATTGGTGCTAGTCCCATTTTCGGCGAAATGTATTTTCCAGAATGGCAATAATTAACAAGGGAAAATAGCAATATTGAAGATAGTGAAATTAATCTAAATGAAATCTGTTCCAAAAAATAAGATCTTTATAAAAGATCATGCACAATTTTTTTAATACAAAACGAATAGTTTTCGCGTTCGTTTTGTTTGAAATTAATGTAATTTAAAGACATTTTCTCCACATTTCCTGTCCAATTTTTTTATGGATATATGAAAGGACGCTTAAAAAATGACTCACGTCTAATTTTCATTGAACATACTGAATTTTCGAAAATTGCAAAAGTAGGAAATATGTGTGGATTTGGCATTTTAGGGTCGTATTAATCCAACTTTTGCCAGCTAGGGGCGTTCCCAGGCCTGGGCCATGTTTTCATTTATTATCCACCCCTGAGGATAAAGGAGACATGTGGAGAGCAAGACGTATTCCCATCACCTTACCTGGCTTACTTGTCCTGCCTGAGTTTTTTCTTTCGTGACACAGCTATAGCCGATTTGTATTAGAAAACTACAGCTTCGTTTTTGCCCCGGTCGGGAACCCGCGATCGCCTCGCTGAAAGCTAGTACGCTGCCGAAGAGCCAACCGATTTTGAAGGTGATTAAGCAACTAAGGGGCATTACGAGTGAAGTACAATAAATTTAAATTACTTTAAATATCATATAAACATCTTTAAATTGAATTGAATTGAATGATGATTGATCGATTAATTCGTGATTCCGGGCGCGTCAACTGACATGGTAATTATTCCCGTAAGTTTAGTGCACATTTTATTATGGAAGGTGAAGATGTTCTTCCCCCGCTGGATGGTGAGATCTGGCGCCGACCTATACATCGGCTTGCACTGTTTTCCCTCACCAGCGAAGCACCGCCCCAGCCAGGTCAAGCTCTAAGCTCCTAACTGGTCTCCTGATAAGTGCGATAGTGTAGTGCATGTGAGTGTAAGTATATGTAAGTAAAGGATGAGGATAGGACAAGGAAAAGGAAGGATAGATCGCGCGCGGTCCGCTTGTTAGGGCACTGCTCCGACATTCGCCTGGTGTTGTTCGGAGAAACCATGGAAAACTACCGATCAGAGAAGCCCGCCGGTGGAATTGTCCTCCAGACAGCGGCTGAATTCGACCTAGCTAGTGTCGAAAATCCTGCCACCGTCGAGACTCGAATCTATGGCGTCCCGGCCAGAGGCACTGCAGTGACATCAGTTGCTACGCCTAGGCTTCATGAATGTACTTAGCACATATCTTATCAGCTTGAAAATTGATTTTATGTACATTAAAAAATTTTATGTATTATTACAACAGCAATGGTAAACTGTACTGTAGAAAACGGAGTGTTAGAAAATACCTTTTTAATGAAGAGTGGCGCACATGACATTAAACAGCGGAGATCACAAGAATGTTTATCAATTCTTTCAATGTCTTCCGTCTAACGATGCGTTATAAAGGCACGAAAAAGAAGAGGAGAATGAAATAAAAGATAAAGAGAAAAGGATCCTACTCGATCAATGACATTTTCACTCAAAGACGTATGATAAAGCCCATCGGACCTTATCCCACCAGGATTTCATGCAATTTCGTAATCATGTAAATGAAATAACTCACCAATTGCCGCCACCAGAGTGTGTGCATCAAACATATAAGTTTTTCCGGACTTCTTTACTATTTTCAAGTGAAATCAGAATGTCCATAAAACGATCAAGGTAGACGGACGTTAGAGTACAAAGCCTAAAATACATCTGCAAATACACAGAGTTTAGACTTGTGATGGGAGATCGAAGAAACGTTCGTTAGGAACTTCGGTAATGCCGTTGCTCAGGATTTCTTTTACAACTTACCCCCCCCCTTTTATTTTTTCACCTTGAAATACTATTAATCACACTACCTATGAGGTTTCTCCAAAACAATTATTTGTAATCCACAATAATATTTACTCGTAGTGTCTAAGCACCTACTAGCATCGATCAAATTGTTACAAAATTGTAACAACATACTGTAAGAGTTGTAATAGTAATAACTTAATGTAACAATAACATATAATAGTTTTGTAACATATAATAGTTTTGTAACATATAATAGTTTCAATGATATAATATGCATAGTATACTGTATTTTTATTACAATTAATGCGAAAGTTTACTGTTTTATGTTTAATATCTTCGTTTATCAGTATGTAGGTGTTACTTACTCTCTAAGTAATATATCCAACGTGGATTAAGTAACAGTGTAAATATGTGTCCCACAGCCCTGGTGAGGGAAAAATAAAGTTACGAAACGTTGGCGAACTAAGAAACTTTTTATTGAATGACCAAAAAACCATGAAACATTCCTAGTAGTTGTAATAATTGCGTATTATTTTGATCTGAGATGAATATTATCACAGCAAATTCGGATCCAAAGCATGTTAAAGCATGTTCATGTAATCATTTAATTCCTTCTCTTATTCTCTAAAAACATGATTAACATTCTTATATCCGTGTTCTTGCCTTTGCTTTTCATTTCTAATATCAAATTCGCGAATTTTATCTTAAAAATTACCAGAACATCTTACAAAGCATATTGATTTTCATAAACAAGTCTAATATATTTTAAAACATTGTTACTATACAATAATTAAAATCGGTTCATATACTTCTATTTCTTGTAGCTGTCTTTATATCCCCTTCATTATGATTACGAAATTCGCGTAAGTGCGCTACTGAAATAAAATATCTCGAAGAGAAAATACCGAGTGTTAATTGAAAAAATAACAAGAACATGTTTAAAAGGCAATCCACCATTAAATGTCAGCACCAGGTTAAAACCACGTACCAGCAAGAAGTTACTTTTGAGAGGAACGCAATTAAATGGTCAATTGAGCTAGGAAATACGGGTGTGCAAGAGGAAATTTGGATATTAGTTGATTAACTAATGTTCATTAAAAGTTTGTTAATCAAAATGTTACATATTATGTAGGATTGGTATGTTACTCTCAAGTAAAGAGTCCTTGTTTTTTGTTAGATGTACTAGAGACAAATAGTTTTCCTGAGGTGTGGCTTCTTGCCCGTCCGTGGTTTTGGCGTGGTACCATCGATGAATACTGCTTAAGACTCTAACGAAGCGGTACTAGAACTAAAATGATTATTCATTGATCATATCAGTAAGCATTAAGCGTGAAATCAAGCAAAAGGTAACAACACTTTAAAATAAACCATGTAGTGCTGAAACTAATTTATTGTAGAAATCCTTATTCAGTTTTTCAAAAATTCCCGCCATTTTGGACTACTATTAGATAGTTGCGTCACAATCGATAGAGTTCAGGGCTAGCAATGGGAGGAATGTTGATTCTCTATCAGTGTACAGAATCTTTTGCATTATTTTCGAATTAAATCACGACGAAAATGATGCACACGTATAACAAACTGAAGCACGTTCATAGAATAGATATAGTCAGGAATTTTCAAATTGCCGAAAACATTAAATCGACTAAAATATTAGCCATGCAAATATAGTCCTAAAAAATTAATATTCTTCTGCGCAGTGGCTTTACCTGAAATTATTTTATGTGACAATATTTATATTTCATCTTTGTAGATGTTGCAATGCTAATTAAGCGATATTAGGGCAAATTTTAAAAATACATTCTGACTTAAACACATGCATTGCATCGATGTAAGATAAATTCCAATGTTTTGAAATCATGTCTCTCAATCTACTTTAACATCAAGCGCAAGATTTATTATAGCAATCTCCCTCTACTGTGATAAATGAACAGAAAGGATATCTTTAAGTTTGGTTTTGGGAAGATATAATTATAATTTCTCACTGTGTCACTTGAATCATTCTTACAGATGTAGGTGAACTAAATTCTAATTCGAAAGGCATAATTGTTTTGAAAAATGAATGTCAGTTTACAATGAGTATTGTAGGGAAATTAGTAACCTGTTTTCCGATTAACGCGACAACATCCGTACAGATGCTGAAAGGATGAGCAGAGCAGAACCAGATGACACCACAACAACGCACACAGAACGTTAAAACTGCATCACACAGCATTTACGATATTGTCGGCGAATCACACGTTTATCAGTGGGATAACTTTGCTACGAGTACCTTTGCTCATTCGGACACATTTATTCAGTCTTGGTTCACATGACGTAGGTCTTCGGAACAGCACGTTGCCACCGCGCTACAGCTACTAATCAATAAAGAGGTCCGCGCTTTTCCTAACAGTGTGCCCCGTTTCGTACTCGTACATATTCAGTCTATTAATTTGTCTAGACGGAAGTCAAAAGGGTGTTGAAGAAATCAACACGTCTGCATTTTGAACCCAATTGACGCTTATCACTTTTCCTCTCACAACAACCTATCAACTATAATATCCACTGTTTGTTATGACATAACCGGTGACGTCTGGCAACGATGGCATGGCCCCCTGGAAAATAGGCTGAGATGCGACAACACTGGTATCCCAAATTAGACATTTTCCAAGATGGCGAATCATGACCATATGCAGATGCATGGGAGGTGCTTTCGTGTGCGCTGGTCGCGACTTTGTGAAATACATGTCACATTTTCCCGTACGATTTGAGTGTCCACTGAAAGAGCAAATCACGGCTGACCGAAGGTGAAAATTTGCGATCCAAATACCTCCTTGACGACGCGTGCTTCGCCAAGAACTGTGCTGGCTGCCTCCGCACCGAGTGACGCCTATTGGGCGGTTAAGCCCCAAACAAAGTGACGTCAGCAAGATCTAAATTTTAGTGGCAAAACGCTTTTCATATGACGAGTGATTGCGGTCCATTAATCAAAAGAGTACTCAACAGATTCATCTAACACACAAGCGCAGCATTTTAAGGTAAGCAACGAGAAGTCTCTCGTACAAACTACCATCAAGCAATCGCACTTAAACTTAATTCCTTGTGGTGTTTTCCTTACTGTGTCTTGTTCTTTTCGAGCTTCAAGAGGGTGTTAACGGGGTTCCAAGTGAGTAGCAATTTGATGTTGTCACTGCGAGCGTCTTTTGGCATTAGGTCAAGTTAACCTAGTACACCTTAGTTTTTGGATACCGCGCGTCTTTTAAAAGTGGTTTCTTGTTGCATAGCAATATTTATGGGGATTTAAAAAAGCTGGTCTTTTGTAGCGTAACCACGTATGCAATTTTTCGCATTTGCACGTACGGGCAGTTTTGCGCAGCGTCCTGAGATACGTCGCTCTCAGTGCTTTGGAAGGGGGCTGCCCCTGCCCGTGGACTGCCCCTCCTCCCTCTCCCCTCCCACCCGCGCCGCCAGTCGGACGAGTCCATTTGTGCGCTAGGTGAGGACATTGGCGGTCGAGGAATTGTTTTGGTGATAGAATTGCTTATTGTGTTCATTAAAAATAAGAGATTTTTTGTGTCATCGTTCACCGCTTACATTATTATAGTTGGTTTGAAGTTATTCGTAATTTATCATCCGTATAACAGCACCGAGTTGAAATTGCCGTTAGTGCGTGCCCCCCTCGACTTGGACGAGTCCAAAGAGACGAAGGTTCGGCGCGCGGCGCGCGAGCCGTGATCGAGGTAGTGGTGTGTTATGATGTGTTTAGCAGAGTAGTCCCGACGCGATTTTGTTGTGTGCGCGTCACAGGCATCGGCTCTGTATTTTAATTGGGTTGTGACCGCAAGCAAGAAATGTGTGTAGTGTTGAGGGAATTGGTGAAATTTCATTTTTTCTGCGCTTGTGTCTTCGGGCCGGTGAGTATTTTGGAAAGATGCCTCTTTTGAGATGTACGCGATGCGCTGTTCGATTTTTTACCCTATATTGCCCTTCTGTGTTTTCATTGTGTTTTAATGTGGGATATCAGGTGTAGAAAGTGTTATCTTTTAATTAAGTCACATGTGAAGAAAGGCGTGGTCGAAATTATTTCATTCATTGTATTGTTGTGTGTTCGTCAAATTGTAAGTTTTGAAAGATGCTCCTATTTTATACTAGTTGGTGGTGTTTTTTGTTTGTTTTTTTGTTGCTTAGGCCAGTCATGCTTGACGATAACGATAGTGGATTTTCTTTTTTCCTTACATTGTGTTTCAATTTCCTAAGTTTTAACTTCTTATATTTGTTTATTTAGGTTCAGTTTTATGCATTTTTATTGTTATATATTTTCTATGCGAATAAGTGAATGCTATGCTTTATTTTGCTGCGTGGATGACTGGGTACTTTGGCGCGAGAGCGTTGCTTACAGAATTAATTTCTTGAAATTGGTGGAGGTATTTGTTGTGGCACCTGTATACCGCATATGTAAGAGGTGGCTGCGACTGGAGGAGATTCCAGACGTCTACGTGTCTGTACGCTCGTGGCCGAAGTGGGCTGGAAGAAATACTGCGCATTTTCGTTGATATATTGCTTAGCTTGGCGGCAGTTTGTGTTGCCCGGCCCAAGAACTGCCTCCCGTTGCCGCGTGCGACGTCCGCCTCCGGAGTGGTCGCGGCTGTGGCGGAGCGTCCGTAGGGTTCAAAATCGTTTGCGCCCCTTTCCAGTATCGATTCATATAATCCTGTCCTGGTGGGGGCGTCTGAAGGGAGATTTCGTGGTAACGCTATAATTTTTTTCAAAGCGAATACATGGAAGGACTAAGTTTCAAAGCGGCGCGCCACCCGCATGTGACATTGGAACCGGCCGTAAATATCGGCTGGGATTCGAACCCACCGCCCGAGGCGGTCGCTGGGAGGTGAAAGCGGGTGGACTCGCGTTGGCCGGGGTGGCGCGCCACTGCGCGAGCCGCGGCGGGCGGGCGGGCGGCGCGGGCGGTCGGGCGGGAGAGGGCTGGGCGCGGGCCGCAACGGCCGCCGCGGGGACGCGGGGGCCAGGGCACGACGGACGGGCGCTCGGCAAAAGCTGGCAATCGTCCGCGGCGCGCCGTGTGATGTCGGCTGCCAGAACGGCGCGCGGTTGCCGCTTGGCGCAGCACTGGTAACGCCCGAGAGGAACAGGTCGAGCGCGCCCGCCCGCACTGTTCCTTCTCTTTTCGCGATGGGTCCTCGCCTGGGGTGCGGTGGCGCGTACGCGGCACGGGACCTCGCTGAACGGGCCCCCGGCGACCGGCTCTGCCCGGACAGGCCGCCGTGAGCGCGGAAAAACGAGGTATTAAGAAGCGCTTGCGAAATGGCTCACGCTCCCGCCACTCCTCTTCCGTCCGGGGAAAGCTGTGTGATCGGCTGCCGTCTGTCCGTCCATGATGGACATCTGGACGGTGGGTGACAGATCTTTAACCTACGCTAAAATTGAACTTGCGAGTGCAGGTAGTTCATCGTATGACCGAGAGAAAATGCTTATCCCTCATCTCACCCGCGAAGACTGTCCTGTGTTAAAACTTGTGGGTTCCCTTTAGTTTATGTAGGAGGAGCTAGGTACTTCCAATAGTCCCACATCAGGTGCGATTGGGAAACCGCTGTCATTACCGACAAGTTATCGGGAGTCTTTTATCGCAGTACTCTATGAGTTGCGAATTCACGGCTGAGAAAGTCATCAACGTGGAGAGAAACAAACTGCTTCATGATTTATCAATTGAACGGTTGCGACCCGAATTGCCCCCGTGTCATCTTCCGGCTGATTACCAATTTCATTGTGGCCATTTGAAAGAGGTGGCTCGGCGCAGCTGGATGACGTCAGTAGGCTCACACGTCCACTTCCTCTTGTTGCTTTGCCGCCGCCTCTTCCTCGTCCCTCCCTCGTAACTCCTCCTTCCCCCTCCCCGATCTCCCCTGTTTCTCATGAACGTCGCGACGCATTTTGTCCTCTTTCTTTCCTTTTTTGTTCTCCCCATCGTTTTCCCTTCCGCGCGCTCGGTGGCGAGCGCGTGCTGCGCATGCGCGGGGTCTCGCTCGCCCAGCTGGCACAGGGCCGGACGGCGACGGCGCGGCAGCACTTGCTGCGCACCGCAGCATGGGAGTATCGGCGTCGCTGTGTTACGGCAGGCTGCTAATGTTGTTTTCGGAGATTCAGTTAAGCAAATTGTTCAGTATAGTTTTTTGCTCCTTTTTATATTTTGGAAGGTCGACATTAATAAACTGCTAGTTAGATTTTTTATTGCTGTGACCCAACTGATACGCACGTGAGTTTTCCCCCAACAATCGCTATTTCAAGCAAATGAGGAAAGGTGTGTGTTGGTCACTTTCGGTTATTTTTGGATGAAAATGAAACACTTTGATAACCAAAAAGAAATTGATATACACAAATTATAAGAGGATTTTGTTTGAAACTGTGGCCCTCTTATATCTTAATTTACCAATATAATGGTACTTATTTATTAGAAAAAAATAAAATTGAGTTTGAAGCGCTTGGTGCAATGCAGTGCGGCGCCGCGCGGCGCGACGCAGCACAGCACTATACCTGGATTATCCGTTTCATCTTTTATTTATTTATTTATTGTTATGGATAATGGATCCTGATATGTAGCAGGACGAAAGATGCCAGAAGGCGCAGTTTTGAAACGCTTAAGCAAATTTTGAAGTATTGTGCTCCATTCTAGATTCACAGAAAAAAATGCAGATTAGATGTCCGCAGTACTTAAAAATCCTGAACCACATCATAAACGCAAACATTAACTCTTGCGTTCGACAGAATGCTACAAGCATTGGGTCGTCCATAGAAAACTCGAACTAGTTCCCCTCGTTTCTCTATTCTTCCTTCGCTTCTCGTTCTTCCCCCTTCTCCGCCGACTGGTTTCGTCCGCCGCGCGGGGTCTCTCTCCTCCCTGTCCCCCCTCTCTCTTCAACCATCTCGCTCCGCTTCTCGCCCGGGCGGTCTGCCTGCCGCCACCGCCGTCGCCAACGGCGGTGGAAACGCTCGCTCCGGGGCCCGCTATGGACGCGCCGCTCGTTTCCTACGATGCGAGTCGACTCGGCAGCCGAGCACGCGACCGGGTCCTGTCCCCTCCTCTCTCCTGGCCAATCCATCGGTAAACTTGTTGAGAGCGCGCGTGTCGAGCATAGTCTCCCCCCCCCCTTCCACACACACACATAAACTTGAATGAGCTGGTTGCAACTCTTCAATTTAATGACAACCTATAGTTTCAATTTCTCTAATCCTAATTAAATATACTAATTTTAGAATTTGCTTATTCCCTTATATACAATGGAAATTCTACTATACTTTCATGACGTTGTGATTAGTCTGATCACTTTGGTACTCTTACAATGCAGCGGCGTATTGTTCCTAGTTTGGTGAGACGAAATTAGGAGCAATTTGCATAGTGGCCGCTGCGATGTGTTTCGAACTTCGGAGTAATCTAGTCTCGTCCATGCAGCAGTATCGACAGTACGCTCGTGGATGGCTACTTTGGAACGGCGCCTTTTGAACGTGGCGCTTCGTGGTCCCAGCTGGAGCGCTCGTCATTGATTTTGCGTTCCGGCGCCCCCCGACGCTGGCGGAAGCTACGGCGAGACGGCTCCGGGCACCGCCGCAGCTTCGGCCGGGCCCCGCAGCGAGCGTAGCGAATCTCCCCTCCCCGTCTATCACAGAGAAGCCAGCCGGCGGTGCAACCGTCTGCCTGCTTGCCCGTCAGAGAGGTGACCCGTTGCTAGCGGTGCGGCTACGTTGGATCTTTAGAAAGAATTTGTCCTTGTGGAGTGACTTTGTAATCCGTGCTCGTACAAAAATCGCGTTTTTTTTTGCGAGATATTCTTCCCCTGAGTGGACAGACGGGGGGAGCTTTTTGACATTTTTGTGTAATTTTTTTGGACCATGAATGTTTAGAAAGCTGTCTGAATAGTCGACGGGAGTTTCGAGAAGAAATTTCATTACACTTATGGCGCGTGACGAGAATTTTGTGTGGAATGAAGAAAGGGAGAAGCTGCAGAAGGTATATATATTTTTTTCTTACGTACGGCGTTGCATGATTGGCGAGCATGTGCGAGATGCATTACGTTGCGAAAATAAATAACGTAGAAACTCGACAGATGCAAGGCCAAGCTTGTCTGTATTTTTAAATTGTCTGTAACGTGGGCGAAAGATGCAAATATTTGCGGTGATGAAAAGTAGCTCAATTGGGCAGAATATCGAGAGTAAGACTACGTGATAAGTTTTTTTAATCAGTTTTTTTTTGTGGGAGCTGGTTACCTGTTCTCTCAGAAATGTTACGTTCAGCATCACTAAGCATGTGAACAGCTTACGGAGAAGGCTAGAGGTGCCGGTTCTTATGTAATTTTTACTCTGTACTTGTTCTGCGCAAGTCAACATATTGAGTGATTGCGACATGCCGTGTCCCATTTGGCTCATCATCAAATTATCCAGTTTACAGAAAGATGCATCGCGTTGTTTACGTCTTGGTTGCTTTCTGTGTGTTACTCATGCAAATTGATAGAGCAAAGCCGTCGGGTATTAGATCGGGAGAGTTTTAGAAATAAGATAAATAATTTGTTCATAATAAAATAAATTCTTGAAGGTCTATTTTGGAAAGAGACAGGTGCATAGGAAGAAAACAGACGCTAACTCCGCATCTTCTGGTCCGAGGAACGCTGGGTACAGAATCCCACCAGCTTCTGTATATATAACGAGTTCTCGCGTGCTAAAAGTTTCGGGAAGCCAACGATATGTTGTAGGACGATTTTCTATTAAGTCCGCAATTTCTTGCAATTTACGAGTATTTGTGAAGAGTTGGGGCTTTGACGAATTTTGCTTCGCAAGGCAATTTTACAGTGGAAGTGTGAAATTCGAAGGAATAGGAAAAAATGTGCTTTTAATTCAATTTGAATGATGTGCGTTTACTGTCGTGCCCAAAACGGAGCCACGTGTACCAACTAGCCAAAAACTTTTTCATGGGCAGTGGCTGGGCAGTGGTTCCGTGTATTATGGGCTAAAAGTTGTTCGCATATATTTAAAAAACCTCAAATATTAGGTTATATGGGGTGTAATGTGAATGTAATAGTGCCGAAATGACGACACTCCACTTAACTGTCATAAAAGTGCAAAAGTTGAAATCGGGTAATTAATATAATCTTAACAAGTTCTATATCAGGGTTTGCTTCTGCAACTATATCTCGAGGGAGATTGCCATTCTCTAATAATTTTGGATAATTTTCAATATTACCAAAATTATTAACTTAAAAGTTTATCCATGGTTCAAAGTAGCTAAATGTAAGATTATTTCAAGTCAATCGTAACCTACCCATTGCAAACTTGGCCAGATGGGAAAATGTAGTTAATAAATGTCTTATACCTACTATTTAAAGGCTAACTGAAATAATCTGTATGTATTCTGATAGCTTCATTGTATGAATGTTTCATTTTATGGGTAAATTACATTAAAATGCTGTTAACTTCTGACAACCCAACACTGCATAAAATCACATTTTTAGACAAGATATGGACTGGTTAAGGTCAATTTTTGGAATATTTGAGACATCCTGTCAGTTTTTAACCAATAATTAAAAACTATTGTTTCATTTTAACTTATAAAAGTTTCACATGGATAGCGAGAATTTTGTAGATTCCGAAGAAAGAAAAGTGAGAAAAGAAGCAAGAACGGAAAAACTTCTGCCGAAAAAATTTTAAACCAAGGATGAAGAATGACATCTGGGTATAAGGATAATATTTGTAGCATCCGGTATAAGACCAGGGTGACCAGATTTCTTCAAAAAACTGGGAAAACTCAGGGCAATTGAAAAGCTGATATACACACATACAGGGAAACAGTTGCTCACATCCCAAAATGTGCATTCTACTTCAGCCGGAACTCTTGTGGAAGGAAAGAATTATGTGTTGATGTGGCACTGAGTATAGCAGTAAGATGAAGTGACAGTTCTTTAAAGTGATGTGTGTTACCAGTAAGGAGAGCGTCTATTTAACAGAAGAGCAGCAATTAGTACATCTTCTATATAGGTGGTAACGCAGAAGTTATTTCTATGTCTTATGCATAAAGTAAAAAATCTTTCATTGCCACATTCTAGTTCTAACTTTACTTGACCAATTATCAGTATTTTAAGCATAATGCTGAAAAGCAAACGTTTTATTCAGATTATCCCTATGGAACTGGCCTTCTATTTCATAAAGATTGGAGATAAATTGATCATGGTTAAATTAAATTTTCAACCAGTTTTTATTGTTACCAGTTTCAAGCTTTTGACTACCACAGACCCCAAATGATAAGAAAGCACTAGCTGTCCAAGACTGTTTAAATGTGCCCTCAAGCAAAATGAAGTATTGTTTTGAACAATGATTGACTTATAATAAAATTGGTTTCAAAGAATTTTAGCTCCCTATCTCTCACTTACTGTACCACAACCCAAAGAAAACAGTTTAATTTTTTTTCATTGGCTTTATGCTTCAAATGTTTTTTAAATAATTATAGTTATTTAAAAATACTTTCTTGATAATTGAATTTTTCGGGGGGGGGGGTAATTGATTCCCAACTTGATTAAAAATGTTTTTGGAAAAAGTTGAAAGGAATTTCTATTGCATTTGTATTGATATGAATTTTTTCCATTGGTAGAAAATAGATTTTTAAATTTTGAGTTTTTAAAGATTTTTTTGTGGTAGTGGTGACAGCAGCGGAAGCTGGGGGGAAAGTTACTACATAATCATATTTAAATAATAGAAATAGTGTTATTTGTAGAGATAGTATTTTAAAATATGTCTCATGACTGATATGAAGTAAACATCAAAATTGACAATAGGCAATTCATTGGCAATGCTGAAACAATGATGCTATGTGCTATTAAGAGGGTGTGAGTCCAAGAAAACTCACGAAGCACTACTATGCGGTCTTCCAAGAAATTATTCTAATAACCTGTCAGTAATATTTGCTCAGAGCGACTCATTCGTTGGTTTCATTACCTAAACATTTAAATAAGAAAATAATTATAATACACTATTAATACTATCAGCATAAGATATAAATGCTTTGAATAACAAAAAATTCTATATTTACTCATGTCTGAGGAGTGGTAACGCAGAGGCATCCAAATGCTTTCCTGAGGCATGTTTATTATTTGTCCTTCTAGAACCCAGTTTCTCTAAACGTTTGTGTGGGAAATGAGAAGTGTGGGTTAGTCAAATAAAGGTGGTCAACACTAGTTCAATAGTAAAAGACATAGGTATTAATATGAAAACTTTTAAAATATCAATTTTTTTACATACTGTTGTGTAAACTGTTTCAGGGCATCACTGGTCTCTTGGTTTCTCTGAATGATTAAAAGCTTTAATGTTAGTGCCTCATTCCTGTCCCAGAATTGCCATTGGATCCAACATTATCAATTTTACTTGAAATCTGGTGTCGGAGACCAAAACATTATATTTACTTGAAATCTGGTGTCGGAGACCAAAACATTATATTTACTTGAAATCTGGTGTCGGAGACCAAAACATTATTTTTACTTGAAATCTGGTGTCGGACACCAAAACATTATTTTTACTTGAAATCTGGTGTCGGACACCAAAACATTATTCTTACTAGATACCACATCTTATGTAATAAAATAAAAAAAATGATAATTGATCATTTTTATTATATCCACCCCTCTTATCAAATTCAATAAAGTTAAAAATTATTTAGAGATCCATTTGTATTAGAAAATACTTTCAACTTTTGAAAATATTTTTGTGAAAATTTGATTCTACAAATTTTGAATTAAAATTTTTTCAACCAAGTGTTGACCAACCAAGAAACCAGTTACCATGTTTAAACTAAGAAAGAAAGCCTATTTTTAAACTGAATAATTTTTACTTTAATGCATTTCATTTTAATTTGAATTGTGTATCACAATCTTAATTGGTTATGTGGAAGTTTTAAGGCAGTGAAATTAGTGTAACTAGTGATTAAGGAAATTAAGGAAGGAACTAGGAACTAGAAACTAGGAAGGCCACTAGGAAATTAGGGAAATGGGTTTAGGTGATCAGAGGCCACTCTGAAAAAGGAATTTTTTAAAAATATTTTGATGAACAAATTACCATAGAAGCCACATTGAAAGCCCATAACACACTTTTTTTTATTTATGAATCAAAAAGAGAAATGAACATTTTCATTATTTTTATAATACTTCGAGTAATGTTTCAAGTGAATTTGTTCACATTATTTAAAAATAAATAATGCCAATAAATTTGTAGAATTTATTCTAGAATTTAATATTTAATTATCTGTATAACTACCGGCAAAAGAACATCAATAAGAATAGTTATTCTATACCTATAAGAAATTAAATAAAGAACACTTTATAATATTTGGCTTTTTTTTATCTTCAAAACATTTAATGTCATAATATGACAAATATACTTTCAATAGTAACTAAATGTAGTACATCTGTGTGCTTTTCAGTTTAGAAACTAGAATTATTGAATCTCACTTGCATATAAATCAGGGATTCCAACGAGCTTGATACAGACCTCCTGGGGTTGATGAAATTTGGAAGGGGGGTCAATGATGATTAAGCTCAATAGCTTAACCTTAATAAACCACTGCTATTAATATTAGCTGCTAGGATAATCATGATCTCATTAATTACAAAAAATATTAATGAACTTCATTTTCTGATGTAAAGCATGGGAAGTAAGATCAATTACACATTTGCTCCTCTTTTTTCAAATCTGTCATTCATGCTCAGGAATCGAGATGTTTAGTAAACTGAAGAAATTATAACTGCATTCACAATGATTCTCTATTGCACAAGTACCCTTCTCAATACATACTGAAGAGAAGTAATGGCCAGTTCATAATAAAGCCAACATTTTGTAACCTTTGCAATATAGTGGGTAGAAACTACTCAATAGCAAGTCTGATTGTTGAAAAACCAAGAGATTTATGAGAATATTGGTGTATGAGATTGTGATGTTTAAGGTACTTATGTTCAATTTGTGTCATGATAGTGGATGCAGTATATTGCAGAAGAAACAAGGGGGCCATGCAGCATACAATTTGCTTAAAAGAGGATAATGAAATAAAAATGTTGGGAATCCCTGATGTAAAATATTCCTCTTTAATTTAAGCATGAATGCAAAGTTCTTTATAAGAAAGTCTCTTGCTTCCCTGGACATAGGTCCCCTCCCCCTTCCATGAAAATCCTGATGGCCCTACTGGTGATCATGAAACTTCTGTATCCTTGGGATATAGAAACATTAGCCAGATCAGAGTTTCAGGGGCACATGGAAGGAGGAAGAATCTCAAAATGACATTTACAAAATATGAACTTTAACTGATTTTTGTTAATAAATTTTGTTTTTTATGTGTAGACTTTTGTTTTTTATTTGTAGATAATTATAATATTGGGAAATTTTATAGTCTCTGGCTGAGAATGGAAGAAAGTCATTTGTGAAATTCTTACAAAGAATTGTCCTGTTTTAGTTTAAACATTTTTTTAATCTTCTGATTAAGTTTGAAGTGCTGTGTACTGTTATTTTTATTACTTGGTGACAGGTGTGCAATTCTGTGTCATGATTATGGATGCTGTATATTGCAGAAAAACATAAGGGGGGAGATGAAGCAAGTAATTAGTTTAAAAGGGGTCACATTCCATGAGTGAAACTTTAGTACTGTCATAGTATAGAAATTACATATACTTGGGCATGTGGCAAAAACAAAACATGCAAAAATATAAGAGATTATTGATGTTACTGAAACAAAGATTAAAACGGGCATCATACTAATGCTTGTAGATTAGTTTATAATTTTTATAATAGGTAATAATTGTAATTAATCTTTGCAGTCATGTTTGAAGGTCCTATTAATTCTCCAAATTCCTTTTTAAAATGTTACTAATAAATCCGTAAGTTCATGCATTTCATTATGAGGTTTGTAATAATACTTGAATGGGAGTGCTCTGCAACAATTAATGAACAGATTTAATTAAAATATAAATGCAAAACCTTTTTTTCCTTCTGAATCACTGAAGTAACATGTATCTCGTGACAAGTGTATGCAACTTTTTTTTTTTAGGGATCAGCATTATGCTGAATTAACTTTTTATCCCCCAGGGTCGTTATTCCTTAAGGTATGAAAGATGGTAATGAAGGATGAATGGACAACACACATATACATACATACATACATACGTGCACACACTTACGCCAGAGGCGTGACCCGAACTTGGAATCCTTATGTCAGAGATCTCCATTGCACTACTGCTGTGGTGATCTAAGTTATCTGGATAGGCTATTGTTATTATTATTGTAATAATAATTAATATCAGGTTATTCAGGATTTTTTATTGTGTGGTCTAGTGAAACTTGTCTTTTGTGTGGGCCACTTATACTAGTTACCATGTAGTCTGCTTATACTTGTACAACAGTATTCTTGTTACGCATTTGATTAAGATATTAGTGCTAAAATTATAATTTGATTAAATACTTAAAAGAGCACTGCATGCTGAAGTATGCCCATTTGTCGCATTGATTTGAATAAATTGACAAGTTAATTTATAAAGATAATTCTACTTGATCTTGGAAAAGTGGTAGGGTGTAGTACATGGCAGTGAGAATATGAATCTGCTGTTGTATTAGTGACGTTGTTTACAAGTTAAGTTTGCATGGGCATGTGTCAGAAAACCCAGATGCAATTTAAATTCAAAGCTCTGACTAATACTGAAGGGTTCTTCTTGGTCTTCAATTTTTGACAGACATTAAATTATAAAAATTGTTATTTATTCACAAGATTTACGTGCTATTGATGCTCTTACCTTTTTTGTCTCTTGATTTCTTTTGTACCTTCAATTTTGATTGACAGGACTCTCAATGTTTTACATGACATTATATTCAATTATAAAAATGATGCGATGTTTTGGGTCACAATTTCACCCAGCTTCAGGCTAAAAACAATCATAACTTCTATTATAGTAAAATAAATTTTAATTTTTAAATCGTCCATAATACTAAATTCCAATTTTTAGAAACCCCAAAATGTCATAATTGTCAAAATGAAAAAAAAAATGTGGTCTCCTGTTGATGCTATGTAAAAATTTAAAAGCATTATGCAAATGTGAATAAATAAGTTTTTATAATGTCTCAAATTCGAGGTCAAGAAGAAATGAGTGTCATGATAAAATTCAGTGACTCATATAAATATTAAATACTGACATGTTTTGATTTCATTTTAGCTTAGGTAAAATAGGTAAAAAATGATTACACTGTTAGACACCAAAAATTGCAATATGATATTAAAATAAATTTATATTTATTAAAATTATCTTCAGTGGTGTTGCAAGTGCAGCTTGAAGATCAAATTACATCTAAATTTTTATTTACCATAAGCACAAATACAAATGAGCAATGGGTACTTCAGGTTGAGATGTATTATTTATTACTACTAAATTACTCAAACACACAGAAGAGAAAAAATATTTTAACTTGTGTCAATTTTTTCATCTTTAAAATTCTGAATATTGTTCAATAATTTTTATACTACAAAATAAGTTTTCATTCATTTACACAATTTTATATTTTGCAGTCATATGCTTTTTCTTCTAGAGTAGAAATAATTTGAAATGGAGGTGTAAAATTTCAAAGTTAAAATGGAGTGTCAATTTAACATTGGTTGAAAGTTGGATGATCACTAGTTCATCACCATCAAAATTAATTTCGATTAATTATTTTCGCATTACAATTCTAGAACATGGACAATCACCTCAGGAAGGAATGTTGGTATAATAAGTAATGATACGCCAACCTGTGATAGCGTTGTATCAAATTCGTGCAAACTTACCTTTTTCGTTTCATCTCGCCTGTTAGCTGCATTCGAACTCATCCGCGCTGTGCTGCTAGTGGCCACTAATTATTTATCGAATGTTACTCTGCAATTACACTAGAATAATTTCGAATTTACTCTTCTGCCAAGTGACTTGTCAAAACTTTCACTGTGCAATGTACCCGCCACTACGTTTCCGGAAACACTACTCACCATTTCTTTCATGAGGCTGAGGATCGTATTCGATATAAATCGACCCTTTACGAAATCGATTGCAGCGGTGCATTCGATATTCTTATTTGACTGAATGATCTAATGAAAGCGGTGCTTCCGAATAAGGAAGTCGGTGAAAAAATTTTCGTTAGAACTTAACATCAATAATTTACATGAAATAATCGAACCATGTAATTTCAATTTAAATAACAAATGAAAACGCATGTTTTCTCAGCCTGAAATATTCCGTTGAGGTTTCAATGTTCTTGCTCGAAATGCCGTGCGCTTCCCAGTTCAGTGACAAATTTCGTCGCAATTCAGTTTTGATGTAAAGGAGATAGTTTTGTATTAATTACTGAACTTCTCTATTTTCAAAGGCCTCGAGTACTAGGATTTGATGAGATCGCTTTCGTGATTTTTTTTCTTTCTGGAAGAGTTAATTTACTTCAGAGAAAATAAATAAAACTACTCTTTCAAGATCTCTGCGGTAAAAAGTTTTGTTTTAAGAATTGATGGAACCATGCCATTTTCAATGGTCACATATTTTCCTCTTACAGTATTGCTCTGGCTTAATACTTTCTTGAATTTCCCTCTAAAACGAATGAGTTATTTCGATAAGACAAACCCGCTTCAGCTTGACGGCGCGTGCATGTTATTAGAAAACTCCAAATCAAAGGGTATAGCCGGACTAGGCTGTCAAAAGTGCCCCCAAACCAAATCAATAATCGCGATGCTCATATGAAAGAATACAAAAACCCCGCCTCCTAGGACAATGTTGGATCCCGGAGGGGGAGGGTGTTAACATGCTTCCCCTCATTCAGACGCCATTAAACAATGATCTGTAAAAATATTAGTTTTCGTGCGAGTTAGCCTGGGCGCAATGAAACATGAGTAAGCACGTAGGTGGTTGATATTTCTACTGCGTCACAATCATCCTGGATTCCGAAAATGTAATGAGTATGGGGTGGGGTAAGTTTGATAATTCATGGCGAGTGTACAGTGATCATGAAAGCGCAGTAGCATTAAGTTTCTTTGTATGTATGAAAGATGGTTCCAGTAACCTATATTGTATCAGAAATGTTTCCGTTTCGAAGTATAAATAATTAAAATGTAACGAAGTATGTAGTTTTAAATAAAATACGTAGTGATACCAAAATATGTAAAAATTATGTTAAATAGAAATGATTCTAATTGATGTTTTGTAAATTATAAAAAATGGAATACAGGTATCTAGTTCCTGTAAAAATGGGTTTACTTGAAAATCTGTTCCCTAGTGATAACTTTTTCCTTCCATGACTACACCCTTGTTGAACATTCAATAAAAAAGTTGAAACTTCCTTTTTTCGGCCGGTAATAGATCCTTGCTGATTTATAAGAATAACGAATATTATTTAATATTGTGAAATAGAAATTTCAAAAATTGTTTTGTGCGTCGAACTCCGGGAGGTAATGGAAGTATTGCAGATTATAGTGCGACAGCCGGATTTTTTTTCCTTTTTTCGTCGGGAAGATCAAGTCATTTAATAAATACTAAGTTTAATTGGTTTAAACATTTTTACTTTACATTTTGCCAGAGGCTTTGGATAGGTTACCATTTACGGACTTTTATTTTACATTTAAAATCGGTTACTTTCATTCTGCAACTGGCTAAAGGCATATCGCAAAATACGTTTCGGGAGTCACCTTTGACTTCCGTGCCTGGGTCGGGCAATCATTTTGTATTTGTATGTAGCCATAATGTGTCCAGTAAAGGGCAATTTGTCTCGGCGCCATTGGATCCCGGGGTTCCTCGTTGGTTGCTCGACCAGGAACCAGCGGCGTCACGAATTCGCTTAACTTTCGTGACTAGACGTAGTTACCGAATGTGGCTAGTGACGCCTGTTTCGCGGTCGTGACCGTTCAGTAGAATTGTCTCAGCATTCGCCTGGATGACCGAGGGGAGCCACGAAAATTCCGGTCAGGATGGCCAGCGTGGGGATGAACCGAGGCCCCCCGTAGCCGCTATGCCCTGAACCAATTCGCTCAGCCTTCATTTTGTACTGGCGCCCAACTGCGCCCTCTGCATTGGATGGTTTGCGCGGGGCGTGCGCGGGGGCAGCTCGACGCTTCGTGAGGGCCGGGCCGAACGGAACGCGGCGCCGTGCCGTGCCTGGCGTCCCAGCTCGGCTGCGGGCCTGGCCCCGGCCCGGCTCGGCCCGGCTCGTTTGGTGGGGCGGTGCGATGCGCGGTCGCGCATGCGCCGTGCACCTACCGCGATTCCGCGCACCCTTGCCGATCAACCCCCTCGCGCAACCAACGCGTGTCGAAAAATATACACTAAAAATTGCCCGGAAACGGGGATGCCTGACGGTTTTTAAACTCGCAGTGCGTGGGTGAGGGGAGGGGCCTATACTCGCAGGATCGTGGGTTTGCCGGTTTAAATCGGAACTTGCGGGAGGGGGTATTAACGGTTCTCTTACATGATTGCAAGAACTGATCGCTGCCTGCTTCTGTGAAACTCTTTCAATGAGAATGTGTTTCTTAAATGGAATACGCAATTAACTTGGCAATGGGAATGTGAACCTTGTTATAAAGAATTCTTAAACCCAGCTACTGAATTCACGCGTGCGCAGTAAAAATAAAATTAAAAAAAATACATTGGTCGAATTGAGATGTGCAAATTGCGTAAAAATTTAATGTATTACGCTAAAACAATGTGTATGTTAATACAAGAAAATCAGCTTCACGAGTTAGTACTTAAATCTTTGATTCTGTTCGGTACTAATTTTATATTCACGCATAGTACCTATAATAAGATTTATTTTGTCGTGCACCTGACACATCAACTGGTGCGGTTTCCAATCGGGAGCTTATATCGCTAGTGACGTCATTAGGAGGTCGTTCAAGTTCCCGATTGGATGAAACCGTGAACAGCTAAATTACTTCAAATGCACGGTTAAATATGTCCTAGTAGATGTAGCATATATTGTAATCCTGCGGCAAAAAAACAACAGCGATTTGTCGACAGAACTCGTATTGTGGGCCCCTTTTATCAAAGAAATGGATATATTTTGATCTTATATGTAGTAAATTACTCCCTAACACGGTTAGTCAGAATATACGTTTTGTGGATCTTTGATACCAAAAAAAAATTGACGACTAATCGTCCGTCCGTGATCAACGCTAGTGTCAACCGTTCAGACGATATTCTCTTCTGCCTCGCCCATTTTCCCTCGCCGATGTGGCCGAACTTGAGGTCCTAAGAGTTTAAAATAGATATTTTTATTTTTTGGTACACTTCACATGAAGCACATTTTCCAAATTTTCTCATAGCTCGACATTTTTGGATTGATGTTTTTCTTCGAGAAGAACAAACACATAGTTTTCTTTCTTTTTTTAGGGGAAAACCAACACCTTAAAAAAATCAGGGGTTTCGTTTTTGTTGAATTCTGAATTTTTGAAAATGGCAAAAGTTAGAAAGTATGTGCTTGTGTATGACCAATGCTTGTGTATGAAATAGTTCGTACAATACCTTCACTGTTTTGGGTGAAGGCGGCATTTGATATTATTAAAATTATACACCATGCACAATACAATGGAGTAACATAATAGCATGGAAACAATTGGGTACTATGGCATAGGAGTGGTCAGGTCTCTAAAATAATTTCCAACATCGATATGGGCTCTTACGGAATTTGTCCACGCACTAATGAACGCGTTTCTGATACGCGTATGGATTTTTCAACTAGTTACTTCAAACAGTTATAACAGACGAGACATCTCGTTTTTTCACTAACTTCGTTAGCCAAAGTGAGACTTTTTTCTCCCAGCGCAGGCAACATTACTTCATTCCAATGTGGCGTCGTTTGTGGCAGTCGGCTGGCGAAAGAAAGAGTAGTATCTCGCCCTCCTTGTGAAAGCTGCCTTAAAACGCTTACTGCAGTGGAACGTCTGTCGGGGACGCCTCGCACCTGCTGGCAATGTGGGTCAAGACGACCGCTCTTCAGGCGTTGGCATCTTCGCGCGGGGGCGCGGGTCTTTTTTTCCGCTCCAGTTTTAGTTCCGTTTATTTCTACCAAGTATGCTTCTGTTCAAATTTCCGTGTATGACGATTGTCTTTCCTTTTTATGTCGGATTTCATCGGCTCTTGTGTATGAAGTCGTTAGGCACTCTTTGATGGTATTAAGACGAACCATTGATGATTATTTAATTAGGCTTGCGGAGATGTCGCGCGTAGAGCCATCTCGGTAATATTCGCTTTCATGACGCCTGATAAATTTAGAATGTTACGTTTCTGTGAAATTATTGATCGTGAAGCTCTCTTTTTAGGATGATGGGTTTCGGGGCTTTTAGGACATGTGGATCACCTTTGAAAGCGAAATTCTTTTGTATTACATTCGTTTAGATTGCTACGAAAACTCGTAATCAGTTCTCTTCATTTACATGTTTTCTAGTCTTGCAGCTTCACTAAACCTGTATCTGCAAGTTGGTTCAATCACTGCCTGGATTCCTCGAATTCATGAGAACTTTTAATGGTAGCCTTGTTTTTAGAACAATTGTTCTGCTTGTTTGCTTCGTGTATTGGTTTTACAGATAGAATGGAGTCTTATCGCCAGTGCATGCTGCAATACCGCGCATCGGAACAAAAGGAAGGGTAGCGAGAGGTGACACGGTTTTTCGTCCTAAGCCACTACGGGCATTTTGCGATGTCACCATTTGCATCAGAAATGTCGTAACTCGCAGCTCAAGCGGTTCTTAACTTCTCCGTATGTACGTATACCAAAATTTCAGGCTTCAGCAGTCTTATGTTCTGGTCTTGAACGTTTGTTGGAGTCGTAGAATGCCAACACCGTCGGGATACCTGGCGTATTAGTAGTAGTTTGTTGGTTCGAAAGATTGCGTCGTGAAGTTATTTTTCATGTCTTAATATTTAATTGTTCTGGTTTGTTATTTTCTCGTATTTATATATAAGAAGAAAGTATGTTCGTTGTCTGCAGATTGAAAGG